GAGAGTAAATCTGTGTGCGTGTGTGAAGCTGTGTGGCTGTTACTTTGAAAGAAATGTTCTGTCCAAGCTGTAGCTACTTGCTTGCTTCAGAGTACTCGAACACGGACCGAGATGTCCGATATGGCACAATTTCACATGGGCTGGTTGTGTTCTTTGAGTTCAGAATAATTTTTGGGGTCATGATGCAAAAAAGGCTATTCTGTGCTAGCTCTGTGGATACAATTGTTCCATGTCAACTTTTGCCCCATAAACACCTTTTATTTTACCTCCTTTATCTTGATTACACGAACACAAAGGCACTTTCCTCTCTGGCTGATCCTGTCAGACACAACCTGACACAGCATGTGTAGCCAAATAAATACATCACTGTGTGTGTTTGAGGAGTTAATAGACTACAAATTAGTTCAGGTTGGTTCTTTTCCTGTGAGGTATGGCCCAGGATGCTTCAGAGATAAGGTAAGGAAGCAAAATAAGGGGAAATTAAAAATGGAGCTTACTGAAGATGTAACTCCTTGAGCATTAAAATAGGATTAGGAGTTGATGAAGTAGGGGGCTTTGTTCAAGGCCAGGGTATAACCAGTTCACCAAGTGAAAACTGCACTACAAAGGGATTTGTTTTTGCAGGGGGTGTATGTGTTACTTGGAGGGTTCAGGTTGAGCTTAAGTAACATACTCTCTACTCCTGTACTTCTGTGAATTTTAGCTGTAACTAATAAAGTCACTGTTTAAATGTTTTATCTGCCAAACCTTATATCCAAGCCATTTGGGGGTTTTTTGTGTGTTTTTTTTTTCTTGGGGGGGGTGGGGGGGTGGGTGGATGTGTATTTTTCTAGCAAGCAAAATCATTCCTTTTCATGATCTGGGAACGATGACTGCTTGAAACAGCAGGAGAGGTAAGCTGGAGTTTGCAGAATAGGTCATTTACTGTGGTGTAAGATACCATTACAACAGTAGCTTTTGTTCTGGACTAGATCGTAATGCTTTGACATAACCTTTTCTCTTTCATACCCTAATTAATGCCCCTTTAAATGTTATTAGTTTGGTCATTTTGAAGTACTGCATATTGCAATTTCAGAAGCTGGTTTTAAGTGCCTTAATGTTTCACACCTATGCTACATATTCCACTTAGTGCATAAGTTTCATTCCAGTATTGATATCCTTCAGAAAGACATTAGTTTAAATACCAATCACAAAAAAAAAAAAACCCAAAACCAAAACACCCTGCATGATTCTGTAATGTGTAGTCTAATCAACTAAGTAATCAAAACAACCTGAATCACTGTATTCCCTTTTCACCTCTGCTGGTCTCTCTTTAGAAAAACTGAAGCCCTGAAATCCTGAGATTACCCTGATCCTCACTGGGTAGCTCTGTTGCATCCACAAGTATGGAGGCTACTAATATTATTTCACCCTTTTCTTCTGCTTCTGTGGCTGTAGAGAGGGTTTGTCTTAATAGCACACCTTTATTCCCACCCAGCTCAGTCAGGCCCCCTGGGCACAAGGCAGCCATCTGCCCAGCTGTGTTTTTGTCCCCCTGCCCCGGTCTTGGTACCGGGCTTGTCAAGGCAAGGGCTGGGAAAGGGAGGGAGAGGGAAGACCGTGGGCTGGCTTTGGGGGTGCTGGGGGGAGCACACTGGGCTGGTCAGGACTGATGGGGGAGCTGTTGCTGCTCTTGGCGGGACTCGGACGCGCTCATCCGTTGGGGTTTAGTTTCCTCTCTCACTTCTCAGTATGATTTTCTTACTAACCATAAGCCTAGAAAATCATGAAAAGTTGGATTTAAAAGTTTTACTGGTTTTGACAAACGTCAGTAGAGTTAGTAACATCATTAGGGAAATGTGGTGGGCTAATTTTCAGGGCTGCTGAGACCCACAACTCCAGCTGAAAGGTACAACTTGGGGGCTCAGCAGTTCTTCAAATTGGGCTTTGGGGTAGACACACACACCCCCTCACCCCGCCCCAATCTGATGGTCTTTCAGCACTCTCTGGGGAATGTTCTTAGTGCTAATGTTTAGTGAGGATTCTCTGAGCTGTTTGATTATTTTGTACTGTTTGATTTCTTCCGAGAACATGCTGTCGAAAGATGAATAATTAAACTGCCAACAGGAAGCACAATATTTTAACACTCAATCACTTCAGAGCCATCTTTGGCTTTCTTTTTTATGATGTCTAAGTCAGCAGTGGCCTGACCGAATGATGGATCTTGGCATTCGCTACCAGTTTATGTGTTCAGAGATGCATTCGGAGGTGCTGAATGTGAGGTTTAAGCCAGCTCTGCTTGTTATAGTGACCAAATCTGGCTACTCATGTACAGTAGGAACAAAATTTGACTGTCTGCGGATCCCTGGGATTCAGTAAAATACCTACTGTACTGTATTAGCTTCAGATGTTGATGTCTGTCTCAAGGAAGTCTGCTTGCTTTCCTTGCTACTGATTGAACCCACTTAGGATGTTTTTATGTTTTCTTTTCTCGTCATGGGTTAGTCATGAAAAAATTGCCAAGCAAGGCTTTGTAGCAAAACCCTGAGTGGTGCATTGAATTAGCCAGTTAATAAAAGCTGCTCAGAATGTCATTCTGAAATGGATGGTTTTGGTTTTGAGATGCATCACAAAGGTCAGTAGAGGGTCCTTCCTGCCAGTTCTCATACACACCTAGGGTTTTAGGATTTTCCGAAAAGACCCTGTCTTTTAGGAAACAATCTCCAGCTTAGATGAAGTCAGACTGTCTGTCATTACCATTAAATTAAGTCCAGCATAAGGAAAGATTTACCAAGTTATCCAAAATAATGAATAATGTATTTTTCATGTTGCTGTCTTCATGAAAAATACCTGTGGCATTAGTCTTACAACATGTGTGCAGATATACTTGACAGACTCACTCTGACAACTAGAGGCATGTCTGCATGCTTTTAATTATGGTATAAATAATTTCCCAAACTGTAAACTAATCACAGGCAATACATTTCTGTACAAGCGCATAAATACGTAAGTATCACACATGTTAGCAGACGGGGGGGGTGACCAGTTTTCTCCCACCAGCAAGGCTCTGGCTTATTTCCACACCCTACAGAGCTCCTTGTAAAGAGCACATGAGCATTTTGTATTTCAAGATTGCATCCTGAAAATATCCCAAATCAATATATGGGCTTTTGATTTCTGTATAGCTGACCTTTCCTTGGAAATACGTTATTGTAAGGCTTAAACTCTTACGATGAAGATAACATGTTAAGACTGTTGTTAATAGTCTACCAATAGATATTACGAGCTTGCTTTCCTCCATGTTGTGCATAGTTAATATGAGTGCTGAGCCCAGTACTGCTGGGTGAGAGGAAGTTTATACCCAGATGTGAAATGCAGCTGTGCTGCAGGCTCTGTTCAAGGGAAAGCAACTTCATGGACATTTATGACTGATCGTAGTTTCCTTTGAAGCTGGGTGTGTGTGCCCTCCTAAAGAGAGATGACATCGGGGGTTCTCTGATGGATAAGAGTTTTCTTGAGGGGGAAAAAATTGCAAAAGAATTAACAAACACAGTATCAGAGGTGAATTCAGGCTCTTTGCCCCATGAATTTCATAGCTTTTTAACCCTGATTTAGAGGAATTTACCTCATCTTTGATGTCCAAGAAAAGGATGTTCTTTTAAGGTAGTCTGCTGCTGGAAAAACCAAAATGCTTCGAAGTATGGACTATTCTTTGAAAAATAGCAATCCAGTGTTCTTGTCCAATGCTTAAAATACTTCTGAAGTTACAGACTGACTGAAACTTGGAAAGCCCAACAGAAAGATTTGCTGTGTGTTTTTTGCTTTCTTGCGATAAATTTAGAAAGGCTTTTATTCTGAAGCCCTTTTGTCTGAAGACTACTTTCTCCCTTCACATGACACCCGCAGCAATATGAAAAGTCTTGGCTGCTCTTTGGAGTTGACTGTATGCCAGGCAAGAGCACCAAGGTCTATAGAAACCAGCCCAGTCCATTGACAAGTTTTCCTTTTGGTTTGAAGAAGCACCCAAATGTGACGCAAGCAGAAGCTCTATGTGGTTTTACCCTCACAAGTGAAGACAAAAGGATCTCTCCAGATGTAAACCTTCTGAAGATCTGGATTAGATGGTGAGAGAGATCAGATACTGTTGGATGACTTTGAATTTTCACTGAGTGCCAGTCAACATAGCGTAGAGAGCCTGAGCTCATGGAAGTGCTGAAAACTGGTCCCCTGAGTCCTGAGTGTGTCATTGGAGCAGATACTTGAACTGAGGAGTTGCTATGAATAATGAAAAATCAAGACTCGGAAGGATCAACTCAAAGTTCTTCTTGTCCTTTCTTTAAAGGCTCTTTGGAAGTCTGCCCCTTTCCCAGTTATCTACTTACTTGTCCTTTGCTCAACCAGCCACACCAGCCTCATTTGTTTTCTTGTCCACCCTATCTGCAATGTACAGAACCCCATTTCAATAGCTGTTAGTTGTTTTTTTCCTTCTCTTCTTATGAGGCCTACAGAAAGCCAACCAGGCAGCGGTGATTTGATTTGAGCGTATGCTAAGGTGACTTGATTTCCTTTGCTCTAGTTACTATGTAGTTTGGTCATTTCTCAATGAGTCTGAGTCAAGGTAATAAGTTGACAACGATCGCTGTGCTCCTTGGCATCATCTCTTGCCCTCTATCCTCTTTCATTTCTCACGTTTCTAACAATGCTGAAAAATCACCAAGGACTGCATTTTGCAATGTGCTTTTTACACGTTGGCCCACTACATGCTACTATAATTCTAATAAATAATAATAAATTAAAGATACTGTTATGATTATTTGGACTCATTAATGGAGAAGGACCTACATGGTATGTGTGTGCAAATGTGGAATTTTGGGAAATTCCTGCAATAGTTTGCCATCTTCTCTTAACATTGTAAATAATATGTGCTAAAATACTTCTAAAGTCGGTTCGTTTGGTTGCAACAGTTCCAGGTTCCCTTTCTCAGCTGTTTTGCTATGTGTTTCTGCTGCAGTCTGCCTGGATTATCTGAGGGGTGATGCCAGTGTTGTTATTTGAGCTTTCTTTTTCCATTGGAAAGGCTTCTTCACTTGCTTCTTCTGTGTACAGGAAAGACGTGGGCTGTGGAGCAGGTTCCACATTAGCCAGATCTCAGCAACTTTCAGACTGTGAACTACCATGAGATCTTTGTAAAAACAGGGGTCAAATGTCTGTAGGTGTGGGGCAGCAGAAGGCTTGACAATGCCAAAGGTCTTGAATCCTTCATGCAAAATGGGTTTGAGGTTGATTCTCTGTAAGCACATTCCCAAAAAGACATCATCGATGGGAAAG